TCATCGCAGTAAAGGCGAAACACAAAAGGACTGCATAGGCGACGCGTCGGGGTTGCTAAGCCAGAAAATTTTCCGACGATCGTGCATGCGGCGCGCGCACACCTAATGGAATGGATATGAGCAACACATCTCGAAGAATAACAGTTACAACGGTGAGTAACCGTCTTTTTTGCTGCGACAAGTGCCAGTGTGAACAGTGCGTGAACACAAACGCTGCTCGTTGGGGGTGGAAGTTTTTTGTCAGCAGGAGAGCATGAGTTTTAGTGGCACGGCTGTAGTGAGACAGCCATGTAGCTAAAAGCGGTGTACTGTAGACATAGCCTAAGGTGGTGCATCCAGGAGCAACAGGGAGGTGGAGGGGCCACTATTTTTTTTTTACACCCGCCCCACCCCATCAAATCCCAGAAGGCTGTGGCCACAAGAAACCCCCTGGTGGCCGCATGCAGTCATGGTGGCCACATTTGAGAAATGCTGGCCTGGACGAATCTACCATAAGGTGGGTTCCCAGGTGGCTGGAAAACTGTACTCAGGGAGTACTTAGCAGTGGTTCACAATCAAGCTGGAAGGGCATTTTGAATGGGATCCTGCAGGGATCTGTTTTGGGTTCAGTTCTATTCAGTATCTTCATAAACAATTTGGATAATGTCCTAGAGATTACACTTACAAAGTCTGCAGATGATAGCAAGCTGGGAGGAGTTGCAAGCACTTTGGAGGACAGGATTAAAACTCAAAATGATCTTGACAAGCCGGAGAAATGGTCTGAATTAAATAGGATGAAATTCAATAAGGACAAATGCAAAGTACTAAACTTAGGAAGGAATAGTCAATTGCACAAATACAAAATGGGAAATGACTGCCTAGGAGGGAGTGCTGCAGAAAAGGATCTGGAGGTTTTTGTGCATCACAAACTAAATACAAGCCAACAATGTAATATTGTCACAAAAAAAGCAAATATCCTTCTGGGATGTATTAGCAGGAATGTTATGAGCAAGATAAGAGAAGTAATTCTTCTACTCTACTCAGCATTGATAAGGCCTCAGCTGGAATATTGTGTCCAGTTCTGAGCACCACACTTGAGGAAAGATGGGGACTAATCGGAGAAAGTCCAGAGGAGAGCCACAAAAATTATTAAAGGTCTAGAAAACATGACCTACAAGGAAAGATTGAAAAAATTGGGTTTGTTTAGTCTGGAGAAGAGGAGACTGAGGGGGCACATAAGTCTTCAGGTACATAAAAGGTTGTTATAAAGAAGAGGATGATAAATTGTTGTCCTTATCCACTGAGGACAGCACAAAAAATAATGGGCTTAAATTGCACCAAGGGAGATTTTGGTTAGACATTAGGAAAAGCTTCCTCACTATAAGGGTAGTTAAACACTGGCACAAATTACCTAGGGAGGTTGTGGAATCTCCATCATTGGAGTTTTTTGAGAACAGATTAGACAAACACCTGTCAGCGATGCTCTAGATAATAGTGGGCACTGGACTAAGTGACCTATCAATGTCCCTTCCAGTCCTACATCGCTATGATTCTGTGAATCTTTCAACATTAACTATTAAAGTAACTTAGCAGAATGTCCGCAAAATAGCCTAGTTATATATTGTGAAGGCTCAGATGTTTAATGGGACGGACTCCAGATCTCCAAGAACAGATTTTGTACCCGCTGCTCATCCTTACCCTGGAGTACAAACCAAATAAACTCCACAATAACTAAGAAAATGGCTTAGGAAAAATTATTTCTGATACTTTCTGAGTGGTACAGTTAAGTTATTGTCAGTGATTATTTTTTATCATAGCCAACCAAGCCATGGGGTAGAGAATATATCTTAATTTAGTTGTGCTATGAGGCATAGTTATGTTTGTGTATGATTTAGAGGAACTAGAGTGCATTATGTTTGGTTATAACTTATGTGTTGGAAGAGTTTGTTGTGGAGGTGAGATATCTGTGAGCGCATTTTAGTGTAATGCTGTTTAGATGTTATACTCCTGGGGGAATTCTGTGCCAAATAATTAAAAATTATGTGTACAATGTTTTAAAATTCTGCAAAATTCTTCATATTTTGTCAAAATAACACAATATAATCACACCAGTTTCAATTATTTTGGTAATTTATTTCAAAATACTTGTCAGCAAGTGTGTCTGTAACAATAAAGACAAAAAAAATGATTCAGGAATTTTTTTTGACAAATAGACTCAGCATATTACTAGGCATATTAATACTTAACTTTGAGTAATTCATTTAAACTACAATCCAGAATCATATTTCCCACACCCTGCAGAAGCAGTGTAAAAACTTGGGGGTGGGGGGAGGGTCAGGGGTAATAGAGGAGTTGAGAGAGGGGGAAGGAGCCTGGGAGTGAACCTGGAGGGTTGTTGGGTTATTGCCCCCCCACTAGCCCTTCTGAACCCCAGTCTGTGATCCCCCAAGCAGCCCTGTGTGCCCCATTCTGCCTCCTACCCTGGCTCCACCGGCAGGCTGCTGTGATGAACGCCGATTGCTGCTGGCTGTTACTGCCGCTCAGCCGGCTGTTCTGGCACCACTGCTGCACTTCTTGGGCTGAATGTATTTTCTGCAGGGGAAAATGTTGTTTTGCTCCAGACATGAATTCTGTGTGTGTGCAGTGGCACAGAATTCCCCCAGGAGTAATGATGTTAAGGTATGTGAATGAAGGTTGTCTTAACTGTTGATTTCCTTGATTTTTAGAGATTATCTTGGTAGAATTAGCACTTGAGCAAATATAACCCTTATGTTAACAAAGTTTTTGTTTGGGTGACTTAGATTACACTTTTGCAGTCTCAAGGGGCCTCAGTTTTTGGAGTGAAGCCTGCATAGAAACCAGGCTGCACCATTATAACACAGACTATCTTATGTTGAGTGTAGTACCTTACTCCACAAGTGATTCCACTGATCGAAGTTTCACTGTCTTGCCCTCAGGAAATATGCTCTGTAAATTGGGCTGACTGACAGTATACTTCCACTTTGTCCCTCTTGTTGTTACAAAGGATGTGTGGTTGTGTGTGTGGTCGTGTGTGTGTGAGTAAGTGAGTGAGTGAAGGTCTGATCAGATGTGTGTCCTAAGTGGATTTTTTTCTGTCCTTTATTTTGTTCCAGGACTTATTTTTTAAATATACATGGAATAACTTTTTGCACTTCCAAGTGGAACTGTGTATAGCAGCTATTCTCTCGCACTCAGTGCACGAAGGGAAATCAGCAACAAATGATCTGGAAAATAAAGAGGAGGTGCTGAATGGGAATGTGACCACAGAGGACTTGAAGACTCCAGACCTCAGTCCAGAGAATGTTATGGTGACACATGTAAGTCTAGTCATGTCACTTGAGAGCTTTAGATGGATGGATTCAGCACGGGTCTTGGTTAACAAGAGAGTAACCTGACAAACTGCTCAAGAAGAGAGGGTAATGCTTATCAAGGAGTCTAGACATTGCTTTGGTCTTCTAGTTCTGGATGGAAATGTACTTGCCTTTGTACAGATGATTTATTCTTTCAACTACACCTCTACCCTGATATAACGCGACCCGATATAACACAAATTCTTATATAACGTGGTAAAGCAGTGCTCCGGGGGGGGCTGCGCACTCCGGTGGATCAAAGCAAGTTCGATATAACGCGGTTTCACCTATAACGCAATAAGATTTTTTTGGCTCCTGAGGACAGCGTTATATCGAGGTAGAGGTATATAGAGGAAAAATATCACCCCTCTTCATGAGTTTAGAGATCACTTTTCCTTTTAGTAAAGATGCATAGACATTTTGGACCAAAAAATCCCCAGAACCAATCCGTATGATTACAGATTCCCGACTCTTTCTGTGCCTGTGCTTCTAATGCTGAGAATATTCTGTGCTGTTGTCTTAAAACCATGATAGCTCTCTTACATTCATATTATGATGAACCCTCTAAGGGTAAAGTGAAGAATCTTACAGAATCATGGTCTCTCCCCTCCTCTAAGAGAAGGGAAATTCTGTGACATAGAGGAAGATTGAACCACTTACGGAAAACTTGAGAGGATTGCTGGACCTTTTTAGTGTTCTTGTGCAGTTTGTTCTGTCAAGATTAATCCATTTAAAATTTGTCTTAAAGTAATTTTAAGTGATAGAAAGTGTAAAGAGATTAATGAAAGTGATCCCCAATCTAATATAGGCCACAGGATTTCCTTTCGCCCGTGTCTGAAACGTTCTCGCTATCTCTCCCTCTAGTTGTTCCAGAAGTGCTGCCTGTTGCAAAGGATATTGGATGCCTGGGAAGTCAATGACAAAATACAGTAAGAGTGTTTTTGGTTGTATGGAGGGCCCAATTTGAGGGCTGCAAATTTTGACTATTGTGTTGAATATTTTTTCAATTATTTGGACAATAGAGAAGTTTGCTAATGTGCTAGAAAATCAGAATGCAGATTGTTCAGATGTTAAAAATCAAATACATACCAGGTAAACACATACATAGACCCTCGTGGACAGGTAAGAACCTCAAAGTGCTCCAGTAGACATGCAATGTACACTTAATTCTTGGTTTCCCAAAGAACATCACATAGCACATCAGCTTGCTTTTTTTTAAAAAAAAAACAACCTATGTACTGTTCCCCCCACTTTTGGGAGAAGAATGTCTGGGAAACCCTATTTGAGATTAGATTCCTCCTGTAATTTTCTAACACTGGAAGCCATTCAGGGAATGTGATGATTGGTATGAAATACGACTCTAAAAATAAAGAGAATAGACTGATGTGAAAGAAAATTATCCGGGCTTCCGTTTCCTTGCTTGCCTAAACATTTTGCTGCTATTTATAGCACTTTACAGCTTCAATGTGCTGTAGAGGCAATTTGCTAATTTCTCTTGACAATCCCCCTGCATGGTAAATAATGCACTGACAACCATAATTGTGTCTGTCGATATTACTTGCATTTTGTTTTGTAGATTTAAATGATTGGGGGTGATGAAACTTACTCAGTGTCTCACAGTTAATACAAGGTAGAACAGATTGTTTAGCCTAAGTAGTTAACACACATTTCAAAGTGAAGTGGCCCATTAACACCTCTTCCTTTCCTCCTTATGACTTGTCTCTCTCACCAACAGAAGCTTGTCCAATAAAAGATATTACTTCACCCACCTTGTCTCTCTGTCATCTCTGTTTGGGCTTTGACTTCTGTCACTCATTGAGATTCAGGAGACACTTGTGGAGCTCTTGATTCAGCTCATAATTAATGCTCGAATTTTTAGGCACAACTTCATGTTGTTAAAAGGAACATCCTGACTGGGGGGTTTGTATAGAGCCTGTCACCTTATTATCTAATACTGAATTTTACAGTAACATCCTGAGCAAAACGGGAGTCCTGTGGTTGGTGTTATGCAGGTCAATCTGGACGATCAAGGTGGTCCCCTCTGGCTCTAAAATCAATCAGTCTATGAAAACTCCAAAGCATTTATGGGCAATTGACATTAGAACAGCAAACCATCACAAAATTAACTTTTGATATATTCCAGTTACTCCAAAATATAAAGTGTAAAGTTTTACGTGTCACTGAAGTACTGTATGCTTTTATCATCAACATCTCCTCCAGGAGCTCAGATAAAAGAGGTGGTTTTCTTTTTACAGTATTTTGTCTAGAGTTCAGTAGTGGGTGACATGGAGACTTCTTTTACATTGTGTTTCTATGATGGTTTTAATGTGCTTTGGTTTGGACCAGCCTCCACAATATTCAGCAGGGCTGCCTGTGTCAGCCTTGCACACAGTTAGAGCTGCACAAATAATATTTGACTCAAACCTGAATATTTGATGAGATATTCTGTAATGTGAATGAAGGGTTGCAATGAATAATTAGGTTACTTGTTTGGGTTCTAGCCATTCTTTTGATTGTCAGCACCTGCCAGTTTGAAAGCAGATCTCCTGTATTAGCTGAGTAGTTCTGGTCTGAGCTGTGTAAGTGCCAGCTGCTGACCTGCCAGCAACGCTAATCTATTTTGATTCCTGAGTCACTTCTGTCCTTTTCTGCATAGTGTGGATAGGCGGATTGGCTCAGCCATTTCACTCACTGGCCTGGTCCCCACTTAGTCCGGACTTACCGCGGTCCAGACGCGGCCGGAAGTCTCCCCCCGTCGACGCCGCGTACTCCTCTCGGCGAGCTGGAGTACCGGCGCCGACTGTGAGCACTTCCGGGATCGAGCCGGGATCGATTTATCGCGTCTTAACCAGACGCGATAAATCGATCCCAGAACATCGATGGCGTGCCGCCGGACCAGCCGGTAAGTGAAGACTAGGCCACTGATTGATTTTGAGATTGACACTTTTCTTGGATAGTATTGGAGCAATGAAAATACAGGGGCAATGTGACTTTATTATTTGATGTAATTTTGATTTTTTTTTAAATTCTCTCTAAGAGGGAAATATATCATCATAGACTAGGATCTCTTTTGTTCTCTCTTACCTTCAACTACAATCCCAATGCTTTTTAAATACAGCAATGATTCGAATCTTTCTCTGTTGCTGTGTCTTTGTTTCAGGGAAGTGATGATTAACAAATGATCTAGTTCTGTGCTAGTATCTCAGAGCTGCTTTTATAGATGACTGGTGTACCCGGTGCAATGGGAGTTCTCTCTTCCCTTCTCACTATCTGCCTGAGACAATATGAACTGGTTCCTCTGTTGGGAGACAGCGCATCCCCTTCAGCCTGTTCTGTGTTGATGCAGCATCTTTACATCTGCCACACTGGTAGTAATTACTGTTTACACACGTTAAATTGTGGCAGCAGCAGGTGACTCTTAAGAATTTGTTGATGAGTGTTTTGTTGAACTGGTACTGACTGTTGCTGTTTTCAGGGCAGAAGGTGGAATGAGGCGAGGGAATATGGGCCACCTTACCCGAATAGCCAATGCTGTGGTACAGAATATGGAGAAGGGCCCCATGCAGACCCAGATCAGTGAATTCATTAAAGGTACATGGTCCTAGTCCCTGTTCCATCACGTGTTTTTCTGATTGAATAGCTCTTTCTGAAACACTTTATTTTGCCTTGTTTTACATGCTGGTCAAAGTCCATTTTACAGTTTTACAAAAAAGATTTCTGGCTGAATGTTTATATTTGATTCGTATGGAGGCTTTTGGCCACATTCTGCTCTCTCTTACATGCCCACTGCGACATCGAAGTCTGTGGGATTGTATCTGCATCACCATGTGCAGAGTTTGACTCGTTTTGTCCTACAGAATGCCTTGTTCAACAGGAGGTTGTACATTTTTGCAGTACCTTAGATTTACAGGGGAGAACGGAGCCCTGTCCCAGGAAGCTGACAGTCTAGTTTAGACATGACATATCAAGAAATGACAATAAATAAAGTGTGGGTGTTGGGGCTTAAGAGGTGTTACGGGGAGAATGTCTAGGAGAAGATAAGGATACCCAATTAAGTATGTTAATGGAAAACACATTGGTGCAGCTGGGAGGAATCTTTCACCTTTCTTGGCTTCTTACATGCTTGTCAAACACTAATGTTAGCAACTTGAGAAGTTGCATTGGGCAAGAATTTGTTAAGCATTGTCTTCTAGTTTGCTTGGCCATTTAGGGGCTACACTGGCTGAGGAATTTTCCTTATTTGTATTCTCTTTAGCTCTCTAACCCGGTTCATTGCATGGGAGAATAGCATATTAAACACTGAGCAACGCCCAGAACTGAGGTGGTACATTATAATGCATGGGCACAACTAGTAGTTACAGTACATAGTATCCAAGGAATATGAAATGGCATGAGTTAACTTTCCTTTGGAGGTCCTTAGGGCTGGAATCTCTCCATGCTCTGATATCCATCTCAGCCAGTGCCCTCTCAGCTCTTAAATGACACCTCAGATGTACCCCTCTTCCTCAGATGTGTGTATTTCCAGTCTTGGCCCCATATTTTTGTTTTGTCTTCTGTTTGCTTTGTTGGATTCTCCATTGACTTTCAGTGTTTTGGATCATAGGAATGTTTTTAATCTTTTTAAATATCACCATGTTTTTGTTGTACACGTGCTGAGGGATTAAAAACATGTTATATAAAATATTGCATCAGGTATTGAGATGCATATAGCCCAGAACACTGTTCCTTACTCGTCTGGGGCTCTGAACATTGTGTAATACATGGGAGAGAGTGAGACTGATGTGTTCCATTGACTGGCACGGGTTCTTTGTTCCGTGAGGTAACTATGGTGGTGACCCATTTGTTACAGAGCTACCTGAGGATTGCAGAGGGAGGTGGGAGAGCTTTGTAGAAGAGACACTGAGAGAGACAAACCGGAAGAATACAGTGGATTTGGTAAGGACAGTGCTAAACGCTTCTGCATATTTCAGATGGGCCTGCTGCTTTCTGGCACCTGTTTTATTTGAAAATTATCGGTTTTATACGACTTTTTCTGTGATATTTTTCCTTGATCCTACACAGCGGGTATACAGGGGCCAGAGCAGGAAGTTCTAGTTAACCTCTCCTCTCTAGGGCTGAATGTGAGGGATTTCTCTCTGACCTAGCGGCAATACTGCTGTAGCTTGGCAACCTCTCTGATGTCTATTGTGTCTCATGAGGTTGCCCTCTGAAGGAAAATAATTCCTACCAGATCGCTTTGGTCTCTGGCGGTCATGGATGTTTAATAGGGCAAGATTATACTGTGACCTCTCTTGACTTTCCCTGACATTCGTTTTGATCTTTGTTCCAGGTGAGCACCCACCATCTGCATTCTTCCAGTGAGGACGAGGACATCGAGAGTGCTTTCCCCAATGAACTCTCCCTCCAACAGGTGACAGACTCTGTGCTTCGTACTGTTGCCAAGAAGCACACTACATCTGGCTTCATCTTTAATCCTTCTCACTATGGCGCAGCTTCCTGACTTCTTACCAGGGTCTAACGCTGCTTGTGTGTCTGTCCATTAACAGTAGAGATGTTTTTATAGGAAAGGAAGGACAGTTTGCCCAGTATTTGAACCTTCTCACCCTAAAGTTTTTGTACCTGTTGGAAAATATTACTCACTCACTGCAGCAGAGGATAGAGCTGACCATTGGTGAAGACTGCTCCCCTTCTGGAGATGCCCATGGGGAAGCCAGACATTTTGTTAGAAAGAGGCAGTGTGACCCATTAGACTGAGTGCTGGACTGGGAGACCTGGATTCTCTTCCCAGCTCTCCAGCAGCTCTGCGGTATGATCTCTCTGTGCCTTAGGTTCCTCAGCTTTAAAATGGGGATATAGTGAAACTTATCTCTTTTGTAAAGCTCATTGAGATCTATGGGTTAAAATGGTATTATTTATAAAGGAAAGGGAAGGCAATTGTATAGGTATTCTCATATAAAATGAGAAAGCCAAATGAAGGGGTGAATTTTGCTTTCTTGTGTCTGGAGGCAAATGTTCGAAATTTCCTAATGGTTACTGGTAGATCCAGGTTGGACAGCAGCAGGGCTGGATTAACCCATCATTGGGCCCCAGGCAGACATACACTCAGGCCCCTACCTATGCTGATGGAGGTGTGGCCGGGCCTAATTTGAATGAGCACTGTTGTGACCTCGTGCACGAGGTCACA